CCGGGGTTTGGTTCCCAGCATGCCATGCCGGCCCTGTCCCCAGGGCACACTGAGACAGTGATTGAGACTGGGTGTGGTGGCGCACCCCTGTCATCCCAGTGCTTGGGAGGCTGAAAACAGGAGGAGCACTACGAGTCCGATCTACATAGTGACATAGTGAGATCCTGTAGACGCTGTACTAAATACAAATATATAATTTTGGTCTTTTAAAGACAGAATTTCAGTATATAATTCAAGCTGGCTTTAAATTCACTTTGTAGCCCAGGCTAACCTCAAGCTCTCAGCAATCCTGTCTCTGCCTCACAAGTGCTAGAATTACAGGCATCCACCACCATACCCAGCTGAAAAATGCTTTTGTTATTTTACCAAATTGTCCACCAAATGATTTGTGCCAAAATAATTCTGCATCTGATGTGATCTGAACCAACATTACTAGACATATTTTGGATATATGTTTAATTGCAATTAAAATACTTCAGCTCAGTCTTATTTCTTTCTATCCTAATGTTATCCAAAGAACCTTAAACACAAACAACTTCACTATCACCACAACCATCATTAAATATTTAGATTGAGTCAGAAAATTTGTTGGAGTCAATAATGTCTGATATTAAAGAAGCCAGTTATTTGAAAGTTAGGGAAGACAATTTAATTATACTACATGCCAACTCTTATTTTCCATGAATTATCATTTGGCGGTGATGATACAGTTAATTCCAAATCTTTAAATCACCTTTGTTTTCAGTCCATCCAAAATTCTTGCAACAAATAAAACTTCTATTTCCTACATGTAATCATCCTCCACAAGGAGGACAGAGTGTGTGTTCAGGCCCCACAGCATAGTTCTGAGGGACCCGTCTAGTCACAGAAGGACTACACAAAACACATGATAGCCACTGAGTCACCTTAAGGAGCTGGCACAACCAAGAGCCACTGTGGAGGCCCTGAACAATAGCAACGCATGGCCTCACAGTTCTGTGGGCTGGAAGCCCAAAACCACGGTGCAGAATGTTACATTTCTTCTGAATTCTTAGAAGGAAGGATCTGTCCAGACCTCTCCTTGGCTTAAAATGGCTGTCTTCATGTTCACAAGACATTCTCTCTAGATATTGTCTGTGTCTAAGCTTTCCTTGTTACAGACATCGTTCATTTTATGTTGGAGTCCACTCTAATGATTTCATTTCATCTCAATTCTATAATGACCCTGCCTTCAAATAAGGTCACATTCCGAGGTGCTTTGGGGTTAGATCTTGGCCTATCAATGGAGAAGGGTGGAACTCAACCCACAGAACTCCCTAACCTTGCATCTTGCTTCCACTTCCTGTCATAGGTCAGTTCCTCTGGGTCAGTGGTATTGAACCTATGCTTCCCAGTGCTAGAGCAGGATAGGGTTTTTGGGGTTTTTTTGTTTGTTTGTTTGTTTGTTTATTTGCTCCGAATTCCTTCAGGGCAGGTGTGGCTGGCTTGAGTTGTGGGGATCGAACTGCAGCAACCTGAGCCTGACTGCTTTGTTGAAGCAGCCACTTAAAGAACTGAGCTAAGGGGCAGGCCCCCGAGCAGGCTGTTTGTTATCATTGAAAGATCCAAAAGTTTTCCCATCAGTGCTCTGAGTAATGGCGGAGGATAGAAATGCAGGCTACAGTGTTGCCTTGCCTGGATACAACCCCAGGTCTGTCCCTGACCAGCTATGAGACCTCAGCCTTTGTAGATGCCAGTCCTTCACCAGGGAAGATGAGAGATCCTTCCTAGCCCACAGGGCTATTACGAGGACTCAACAGCCAACCATGCAAGTGCTCAGCCCTGGGTCTGGCACAGAGAAAGTGCTCCTGGTGTGTTAGTTGTGACTAATACTAATTACTAAATTAAATTATGAATTCAAACCAAAAACTAAACTTGTAAACCCAATGTTAGGGGACCGGGAGGTAGCTCAGTGGAATAAGTGCTTGTCCCACAAAGTGCAAGGTTCTGAGTTTGATCCCTGGTCCACCAAAAAAAAAAAAAAGAAAAAAGAAAAAAAGAAAAAAATGGTGGGAGAAAATACTTCCATCATTCCTCACCAGCCAATGTATTCTTCCCTCCTCTTAGCCTTTACAATTAATGTGGCCTCATGAAAGTGGCAGTGGTTTGGCTCAGGATGGCAGGAGCAGGGACCTAGGGATCTGCACTGTTCACCATACCTGGTTTCCAAAGCCTGACTCAGTCAGTGCATTACTGACCAGCTGCCCTGCCTTCATGGGAATCCCCTATCGTGGGACATTTAGGCCACTGATCCTTGTCACAAGCTCTTAGACAGTCTGTTGTACTCCACATTTCCTTTATTTAAGCAATTCATATTCTTTTTCTTTTATTCAGTTGGCTCTTGTTGCATTTTCCCTCCAAATCTTCTTTTACAGAATCATTAATATTCATGAAGGACTTGGTATATTAAATTTACATAAGTAAGGGATAATAGGGAACTCTAAGCTCTGAAGATTCTAGTCCTAGGCCTGGAGATTATAAAGCTGGCTATAAATATCCAGCCTCAGAATCTCCTAGCCTAGGGCCAGGGAGACAGCTCAGTAAAATAAGTGCTTGCCTGGCAAGTACAGGGTCCTGAGTTCAATCCCCGGTACCACACACACCAAAAAAAAAAAAAAAAAGAATCTCCCAGCCTAAGACTACAATTTTCATTTTTATTGCTTTATCTTCATATTTGACATATCCTTTGCCTCCTCATGGAGACCAAGGATAAAATCAGAAAGACTCATTCAGCGAAATGGGACAGTAACTGCCCCAAAGACTCCCTTTCCTACATATCTCAGCAAAAGGAGAAACTGGCTTCCACACCACTAACACAGCTGACCTGCTCAGAGAAATTGAAAGCCTCATGAAGGCATCCAGGGCTCTGTGATGACCTTCTTGTGTGGGACTGTCCTCTATAAAAGTAAAATACTGTATTTTACAATTGCATTTGTATGAAGATGAAGATATTGTCATGTGTTGATAAATAATCTTTGGCTTTAAAGACAATTTTTTTTCAGATTTTAAATGAAATTAAAACAATTTCATTGCCCCCAGGAAGTATTATGGGCTGGAGACTTGTGTTTATGTAC